CAGGAAGTGATAAAAGGCGATGGAGGAGGGAAGGGCATAAATAGACGACGGAAGGGCATTCCGCGATAGTTCTTTAATATACGACGAGTGTTAGGTGTGAAAGAAAACGAGAAGACAAACGGGGGGACGATGAAGGGATACGAAGACGGGGATACGAAGACGGGGATAAGCAACGACGAGTTGAACACGACGTGTCATTCACTAATTACGACGGTTGTTCTTCGAATGATGATGAAGAGTAACACATAATATTTCACGACAATAGATTGTAGATATTTACCATTCTATCTCTTTTAAAATAATTATACCAAAATCGGTTAACATCTCTGTTAAGCGTTATTGATTAAGTCAATATTATTACTTACTTTTATATATATATATTTTTTTAAATTAAATAAAATAAATCTTACACAATTAATATCAGGGGGTAAAATTAAAATATAAAATAAATATATGAACAATAGTGTGTGTAGTAATATCTGTGGAAACTAATTTGAAAACAATAATAGGAAACAAAAGGGAGGATATAGGGATGTGGGATTATAATCATTAGGTATATAAAACAATCGAATGCTTGTGAATTTAATCGTGATAATAAATTCTCATAAAATTCGTTGCCCAGTGCGGGGATGAGTAGTAGTTTGCTTGCTTGCTTGTTTAAAATGCTCGATTTCTCTCTCTTTCATTCAGTCAATTTTTACGCTTGCTGGAATAGCAACCACTGAATCGTACAAGGATCGTTATGACATGCGTGTTGCCCGAATGAGTGCTTTTTATTTTTCCACCGAATGTTAAAAGCCAACTACAGGAATGTACGAAGGTTAGTTGGTTGGTTGGTTGGTTGGTTGGTTGTTTGGTTGGATGGTTGGTTCGTTGGTAGATAATACATTCTCGACAAAAACTTTTTGCCTGTTTAACGGAAAATTGGTCCCGGTCGTCGCGTTTCGAGCTTCTTTTAAAAGCGTCGACAACTGGAGAAAGGATAAGCTCCTTGTTGGGCTATTTGAAATTTCTTTTTTTTTTCCCCTCTTCTTTTATTTTTATTCTCTCTCTCACTCAAAAGGGAAAGAAAAAAAATGACAGGAGAACAACAACATCGGTACAATCCCCGTATAAATGATATCGGTGGAAAGATTAGGAAAATAGTCGAGAATACGGTTGTGAAACGCAAATCGTCATTTTAATTTTATTATTCTTTTTTTTTCATTCTTCCCTCCTCACATACATACACACACACACACACACACACACGTCTTATCTTTATACTTAATAAGACGTAAGAGAAACGATGTGAAACTTTAAATGCAGGAGGTTAGATGGTAAGGGTAACTCCCTACGACGTCCGATGTAATTTCCATCGTAATTTACTTTCGAAACGTTTTAATATTTCTTTTTTTTTCTTTTAAGTAGAAAATCGGCAGAGAGAGTAGTATTAGGTGCGTGTACTTACTTACTCATTCCACCGAGCGCGTAATTCCTAGCCCAGGAAATAACCGTCGCTTAAATGAAACTCGTAATTTATCGGAGGATATGCAAATGTCCTCGTTTTTAACTCTCCTCGTCTTGGCTTACCAAGTATTATACAAGTATGTTCTCGCCTAAGAAATATGATTTTGAATTGGTTAACCTCGATGAATACAAGTATGTATGTATGTATGTATGTTATGTATATTCGTCCTTTTAAAAAATGTATATTTTTAAATTTAATATGTTCTTTTTTAATAAATTCATTAATGAACTTGTATCGCGTATAATATTCAAATGAAATGTCACGTTAATTCTTTATAATAAAAATTTGTTCTTTTTCCTATGTCCAAAAGTATAAAATATTACTCTTACGATTAAAATTTCTCTAACGTTATTTATTTTATTTTTATTATATTGCATTGATAATGAGCATAACTTAAGAGATAATATTAATTATTCGTATAATTAATAAAATATCGAAGAAATCAAATATTTGATAAAGTACCGACTTTATGAGTACGCGACTTCTAAATTATAATATGGCGTTAATACAAAGGGTTAATGAGAAATTTGATGTAGAAGAAATGATCAAAAGATTTTTCCGGGATAAAGCGAAATAAGAGAGATCTCTTAAGGTAACCGTTCTATTCTCTTATACGAAATCGTCTGTTTGTTCTCCAGCGTATCCAAAATTTGTTTCTCATTACTGCAAAGTAATCACCGAGATGTAATTAAGGAGAAATATGTTGGCGCGGAGTACGCGAAGCAGCCGTTCGGTGAAAAGAGAAGCACGTTATACTACATCCACATACAAATACTAAACATACATATATAAATACATATATACATACATATGTACGTACGTACGTGTAACGAGTATGCGTTCAGCATTTTACGTAATCTGATCGTAATAATTAATCGTCCTAAGTTAATTGCTATTGAGAATATTCCAAGCGTACTACCCTCATTTCTAACGCAAAATGCTTTGTAGTACTTTGTATACAAATTGAAAGGCGAAACTACTTAGAATAAAATAAAAGAAAAAGAAACGAAATAACAATGTCTTCGTTATCACGATTCTAGCTAATTATTTCTTCTTTTTACTTTCCCTAACCGAACTTTTGTACTTTTCTTTTATTTGTCCTTAATCTATGCGACAAAATCAAATGATATAACGATATAAATATATATTAATGATATAACAATTTTTTCGTATATTATATTATACGATCGAATGAGCAAAAAAAGAAAATTTGGAATCGAATTGTCAAAAGGCTTGAAAACAAAAGAAAAAAGTAATAAAGTAAAGCTACGTTTTAAACGAAAAGTCTCAATTATCCTTAGAATAAATGTCAAAAGATCATTTTAATCGTTACAAAGGTAGTATCCATCGAACAGAATAAGGATAATACATCGATTATAATACGTTTAATCGAATTTCCTTGTACGAAAGAGAAACAAAATGAATTCGTTATATTATGGGCTTTGTCATTCGAGAAAGAGAAAAAGATATTGTGTGATAAAGTAAAAGAATAAGAGAAGAAAGGAAATGGCAAGTGAAAGAAAAAAGAAAAAAAAATAGAAAGAAAAAAAAAGGAAAAAGTATCTCCTCGCACGGAAAGAGAAAAGAGAGACCAATGGAATGGGTATTAAAACGCGTTTCCCTTTTAAAAGAGAGAAAATCCATTACCTTCGTACTTCACGATCTGCATTTTCCGGCTCATAAGATATAGTAGCACCGTGTACATCAAACTTATGTGTATGCTCTTTTCGCGTACATATACATATATATACATACGTGTGACACGTATGAGTTCCAAGTTCAATTAATTTCAGTTTAAAGCTTCCCTAAGCCAGAGAAATGCGACTAAGCTTCCTATAATTTCGTCGTTAATCGTTTGCTTGTATTCAATTTCATCGTTGGGGGGATTGGCTTTAACTTCAAACGCGTCTATCAAATTTTATTATAATTTTATGCAACTTGTTTTTATATAGATATACATTCTGCTATTTGTTTAACTTTAATTATAAATATATATAAATTATAAACGTGTGAGAAAAAGAAATATTGCAATCCATAGACCCGTATTAGTTAGAAATTATTTTCAAATGGATCATTTTGTTGTGTTGAAATTTTATACTTTTCCATGACGATTCGAAAATAATCCGCGTAAAATTCTTTTTCTTGATCTTTTCTTTAAACAAGTGCTGCCATATTACTAATATTTCGTCAAATTTATTAACATTATTATCAACTGTGTATCAAGTCGGTAGCTGATATAATGATAAATATGATAAAGCAGAAAAAAAGTTGATTATTTATAGATAAGGTAGAAATCTTTCGGAAAAAGCTCTCATGATATACTGAATCAAATATCATACGATGAATCAAGTATAGATCATCATTTTCTTTACCGTAGGAACGCTGGCAAGGAACCTTACCAGCAGAAAAAAATGAATAAGTGCTCTTATTTGCACATTTTATCAATTAAATATTTAATTAGTTATTAATAATTGAAAAAAAAATTTTCGTGTTATTGCTTTGTTGCTCATTTCTAAGAAGTGAGCAATTATGAATTTTAAATTTTAAAGTTACCTATAAGTAACTGTATAAGAATTACAAAGTAAGTCTTATTACCGACTGTCGTTAAGATAAAGGTAGAGCTCTACTATTACCGATATGATGCTTAGCAATGTTACTAGGATTTCAATATATTTTAAACTTGCTTATTTCCTAGTAACTTCTAATAACAAGTAGTGTACACAAAGTGAATGTGTAATTAAATTCTATATACATTTAAAAACAAACAACAATTAGAAATCTAATATAGATATTTCTTTTTTAATTATTAATTAAAGGAGTTTACTCGCTAAGAACGTTTATCTTGGAACAGGTATGAAGAAAAAGACTTACTAGATTAAAAACAAAATTGATATCATATTAGAGCTAGAAAGACTGGAGAAAAATGGAGAAACAAAAAGTCAGCAATTGATTGAAAACAAAAAACAATAGAAAACTTTATTGCTTTGCTTAGAAATAAGATAAAACGTTTTTGTTTTTTTAATTATTAATAACTAATTAAATAATTAATTGATAAAGTGTGCTATTATAGATTTTAAATATGCAATTAATGTGCAAATAAGAGCTCTTATTCATTTTGTTCTGCTTTTAAGGTTCCTTACCATCGTTTCTACGGTATTTTCTTTCGTATATTCGTATAAAGGCGGAATAAAAAAAAGTATGAAAAAGCATATATATATAACTGTATTAAATATTTTAATAAAATACGAAATATCGTACATTATAAGGAACAATGATAAAATCATTCGCTAAACGTTTTCGTGTTCAATTTTAATTTCTTCGTAGTCCTCGTCCATCTCGACATCACATTTATTCTAACAAATATTTATAAATCTATAAAATTCTGGCTTATCTCTTTTATTTTATCTAAAACATAAATATAAAGATATAAAACATTTTTTAAAAAAAAAAAAAGGAAAAAATAGGATCGAAAAAAATAAACTACACTCACCAAGCAACAACGATAATTCTTTTTTTTTTTTGCTTTCATTGAATAGGAATTTCTTCAAAATCAGGATGACTGGAAATTCGACGATTTGTTGGATTGGCCATTCGTTTGAGCACATAATCGGGTATACCTTTCTCTTCTAAATTTTTCGTACCAGGTAAAGCCAGACGTATTTGAGCCCTTTCTTCTAAATTGTCATTGCCAGGTAAATTAACTGGTTCAACAACGTAGAGTCGAGAAAGGGGTATAGATTTTTCATCTAAATTTGCCGAACCGGGAAGACGAACTTCGTCAATTTCGATGTCATCGACCGCATCATTGCCCAACGTACGGAATTCGCGGTCCGTATGCGGTCTGTACGGAACAGCGAGGGTTCCATAAACGCCGAGGAATAATAAAATGATCTGCGAATGATAAAATAAAATGATTCAATTGACATAAAAAAAAAAAAAAAAACATAAAGAAATATAGAAATAACGATTACGTTATGAAGCGAATAAGAAAAAGAACGAAAAATAGTAGGAAAAAATATATGAGGAAAAAAAACGTATATGTTTGTCTCTCTGACCTGTTTTCTCGTCCTTTCACAAATGAAAGAATAGGTAGATATTATACATACATATCAAATGTTTATTAAAGAACGTTAAACTTGACAGAAATCTAGAAAGTCTGAAATAACTCAAATCGCGTCGCACCCACGCCAACTATTACAATAAATAAGTATATTCTCTTCCATTCCACTTGACCCAAATAGATCCCTTGCCGAATAAAAGATCGACAAACCGACACTTTCTTACGGATTCCAACATCGCGACGTTTTTCTTTTTAAACTATCACCGAAATAAATTATCATAATAATCATTTTAATACAACCACGCGCGCGATAGGACACTTGGGAAAATTTGAAATGTACTTTTATAAAATCCGTAATTTATTTTTTTCCCCGAACTTGACCCTGTTAAATTCAAAAGATAAAAAAAACGATGCGACGAATTAATGTCCGAGTAACAAAAAAATATTAAAAAAAAAAAAAAAAACCAACATATAACCGAATACAAAAAATTAACTCAAATAAATTTTTCCAATTATTTTTCATAATGAAACCAGTTCAATGTTTTTTCTTTTTTTTAATATATATTCCTTTTCTTTTTCACTTATAGTAGTCGAAAATAAAAAAAAGAAGAGAAAAAAACGCGACACACAGGATTTTATACACTTGTTAATTGTAAATCGGAATCCTTTTCTTTGTTTTTATTTTTTTCTTTTTTTTTTCTTTTCTTTTCTTTTCTTTTCTTTAAATCCAATCTCACAAACGACTTCGATCAAAATACTGGATTCTTTCTTTCGAGATTTCCTTACCTCGATCATGTTCGTTCGAAGCTTCGAGTCCAACTATCCTCCGCGAATGGCACGATGACACTTTTATATGAGTGTATACGTATACGAGTATATACAAGCTTAGACACTGGTCTTACAACATGATCAACGTTTTATTTTGATGAGTCAAGCGGTTTCTCCCCCTTCCCTCTTATCCCTACCCTGCTCAACCACCACCACCACCACCACCACCACCTCCTCCTCCTCCCCCGACTTTCAAATTTATTCTCTCCAAAATCGTTTTTCTTACTACTTATCAAACATAATTGGCTACCACTTTCATTAACGTACCTCTAATTAACTTAATAAGTTCTCTCCTAATGTCCTATCAATTTTTTTGATTCATCTTCTTCTTATTCTTTAGCTAAAAAATTTAACTCCTACATCAAAGCATTGAATACTAACGAGCTAAAAACGACAAAAAAGAAAAAAAAACAAAGGTATAATCTATTCGTTCGTATTTTAATTGAATCGATAACGTGAAAACGAAAGAAGAGGAAGATAAATTGAATTTTTCATTATAAATTTATTCAAATCAATTGTAATGACTACGTAATATACTTAAGGAGAAATTGAGTATATTTATCGACAATATCAATGTATGTGTGTTATGTTTACAAAAATAGTCAGATGTGTTGGTAAGGTTCTCGAGAATGTGTGTATTTGTGTGTTTTCATGTTTAGCAGAGCACTGTAGCAGATCCTTTGTTTGGTGTTTCTTATGATATTTTTTATATATTATTTAACGTTAAGAATGAATGAACCAATAAGAACGCTCGATTATCGTCTGTTTCCAACAGTTATCGACAATCAACGAATACCAAAAGACGTACGAATAAGACGAAGTTACGCTTACTTTGGTGAAACTTTAATTCATTATTTTGTTGAAAAGTGTTCGAATTTGTTAAAAATATTCATTTTATATTAATCTTATTTGCAAATTAGCGAAATCGTGCATTTTCTTCTTCTTCTTCTTGTTATTATCATTATTCTATTGTTTATTACCCTACAATCGAGTGCTTATTAACTGCATGCATATCGTACAGGTGTATGCATTTTAAGGTGTTACGAGACGAGTCAAGGTCATCGAGACTGAAGCATACCAAATGTAAGTACGATATTTTAACACGCTGATAAATGCTCGAGAGACTTTCCAATTGAATACAATACGATACATCGTTTTTACTATAGTTAAATTTTAATTTATAGTCCTCACGTGCGAAGCTTTTTAGTGATCATTTTAACCCTCTCGCTATGAAACGATCGTAATAAAATATTAACTCTGTGAGTGGTAGGAATCGCTCACAAAAATGATTGAAATTCGTATATTTCTATCTCTAAACTTTCCAATTGAATTTGATTTCAAATTCTCGTGTTCCTTCACAAAAATAACATAATTCGTAATATTTTATGTTTTTTTTTTTTAGAAATATATTTGAGACATTCGATGTTACTGTTACTTGGATTAGCATACAATCATTTCGCCTAAACGAAAATTATTTGAACACGTGCGTATATATACGTACGTCATTTTTTTCTTTTTCAAATTTGCATCCTCAAGAGGTACCTAAAAATGCTGTCTGCTTATTTTGATTAATGTTAAAAAACAATAAAAGAAATTATAAAAGATAGAAATAAAGTTTCTAGAGACAAAAGTTAATTAAAATTAGGTTTTGTATTACTTTGAAAAAATATTGATGAATTTTGTTGTTCCATGATAAAAAGAAATTTATAAAGTAAAGTAATAATCCGAGTTTGTGGATTGGAAAGATGGTCCCTGGGTAGATTAAAATTGGTGTCGTGTCTTACGCTAGTTCGTTCATCAAACCGATAGAGAATACTAAAATATTCTTCTATTTTCAACTAGTCGAGACTAAATATAAAATCAGTCAAGTCCGAATTAGCAGCATGATATCGATCAACGTATCGTTGAGGTCTTCGTTTACGGTACGTCGACCGATTATTGGTCTTTTTTTCGTGACTAGTATAAAAAAAAAAAATATACATATATCATTCTAAATATTTTTTACACAATTCTAAAAACTTGTTGAATTTCTTTTTTAATTTATTATTATCATCTTAGATCTTTTATTTATTTTCTATATAATTATTAAACAATATATCGAATATTGGATAAAAAACATTGTTTTCGTATTATTCTGATAAATGAATTAAAAATCGCATAACTTTGATGATATTAATCGAGTCTACCAATACTTGTTGCATGCATTTGAAAAAAAATTGGCCAGATCATAGAATAATTTTCTACAAATTAATTACGATATTCGTTCATTCAGTACAAAAAATTATTGTCTCTCGAAAACAACCTAATCTTTTTCAATGACGTTGTAGTGATTTGCGTAATAATTCGATCGAAATTCTAATACCAACATTAAATACAACCCACACAAACAAACACACACATATAGATGTACCAACGTTGAAAAAATCGATCGTTTCCAATGAAATAAATATTATTTCACGAAAAGAAATAAATTTAATGGATTGGGTTGGGCATTGGATGGTCAAAGTTAGGGTTATTTGTCTATTTGTGTGGAAAGTCAGACGATGACGATCGAAAGGTTTATTGAACGGATAGTTTGGAACTTATTCGCGTCATCGCGTGCCTACGAAATTATCCTTCTCTCTCTTGAAATTCAATATACGTGTGGGGTTATTGAAGGATCGGGTTGAGGGGAAAGAAAAGCGAAAGTTCATGGTAACATTTACGAAAAATAAAAGGGAAAAGATCCCTTGGGGGTGGATACACGATTTTGTTCTTCACGATCTTTTCGATGTCGGGGAAGAATGAAGTAAGATGACGTCACTAATACTTCGATATCGTCGTATCGAAGGATGACGTCACCCAACCCTATTTTTTTCCCAACATTTTTCCACTTCGATGCCTATAGACGGCGGCTGCGGCGGCGCCTATGCAAATTATCGACCTACCCTCGGCATTGAACGAATCTCTAGTAGACATCAATGACGTCATTATTATATCCTTCGTAAGGTATATAATGGTGCACATGTATATGCAAGCATAGTGCATTTGTGCATATGTTCATACGTCCTCGTCCTTCTATTCACTCACGCTCGTTGGTTACATCACATAGTTCGTGCATGAAGAAAGAAACGTCAATATGTTTCATTGTAATCTTCTATGTTAGTTTCATGCAAGCGTAAAGATAAAGAACACAAGTGAGAAAAATAAAAAAAGAAAAAAAAGACAAAGAGAGAGAGAGAGAGAGAGAGAGAGAGAAAATAACGAACAGAAAACGCTGGATGTTGTGTAGGCGCGATGAACTTGGCAATAGAACGACGAGTATAGTATTCTTTTCTCTCAAGGATAAATTCATTTCTGATAAAATCAATATATCGATACAAAATACGAAGATTAAAGTATAGTATTTATTTTTATTAGTTACAAGTATAGTCTTTAGTAGTCATAATTTTTAGTAGTTTTTTAATGTAAAGTATTTTATTTTTCTGATTTTTTGTTTTGTTAAACAAGCACTAGAAAAGTTTATTTATTATTAATAAATATGTATCGTAGGGAAATTGGACATTAAAAAGAACTAGAACTCGAACTTAGTTTTGATTAAATTGGACGTTTCGTCCCTTTATTGGGACTTCTTTATTTATTATCGTATATTTATATGTGACAAGTATTTTTCATGCGAAATATTTCTTGATTGATATGACAGCTGCATTATTATGATTTCTAGGGTGAAATATTTTTAATCCAAATTTATGCAATTTTTTAATTGCAATCTAATTCATTTAAACGGGAATTATTATTCGATTTAATTATTATCAGAGAGAGAGAGATAACAGTTTATTACGATCATTATATAAATAAACATATAAAAGATATATAGGGGATGAATAATTTATGCAAAGTATTACTACCGAATGAAATTATTTAACTAGAGGGTAGGTAATCGAGAAAATAAATGGAAAAATGAATAATTCAATTTAGATAGAAACGCGAACGCGTTAATATTGAACCTTCTCAAATTGTATTTGCCGAAAGTTCAAATATCAGGGGGATTCGCTTTAATCTCATTCTAGGATCGTTATTTAAATGATTATTTCTGGATATACATATGTATCTATCCATCTGGCGTGAAAGAAGAAACGATTTTAGATCGGGCAAAAGCACAGAACATCGCTAAGCGAACTTGCCGAACAGGTTCCACGTTTATTAATAGAAACATAGTTCATTCTATGTAGTTTATGAACTTGTTCTAACTAAGAGAACGAGTCGATGTACCATCATCACCACCCTTTCCCCCCCCCCGGCCTACTCCCCGTTCCATTATTCTCTTTGTGTTCTCTATGGGATATAGGATAAGATTAGGTACGTACAAGGTGTTACATTTTGATCATATTTTTAATACGTTAAATATCATGATAATCATCGGTGACCTTCTAATAAGATAATTGCATTGCACACACGATTGCTTTAACTTATAATATAATATTTCTTGAATTAATATTTTTCTCAAAATGTAATATACTTAACGAATATATAATAACAAATCGTAACGCCATTAAAAAAAAAGACCCATATAAAAATTAACGTTCCATTCAATTTGATATATACGAACGAAAAAAATATTACACGAACGCGCGGGTAGGATCATAAACAATTTTTATTTACGAAGTTATAAAAACGGAGATACTAAAATTAGAGAATAAGTGATTTTTGTTTTTTTCTTTTTCTTTCTTTTTATTCCTTTGATTCTTCGTCGTTAAAACGCGTTGATAATATTTGACCGTTCGAAATAAATTGTGTTTATTATTAACGGTCATTGTAACCGAGCAAGTTGCTTTTTTTTTCTTTTAATACGGAAATCTAACATAAGTTATTTATAATTATTTTTAAGATCTTTCCTTTTGTTTTTCGTACGAATTGATAATAAAATATTTGACGAGTTTATATGTCAGTATTTTCGTTTATTATCGAATATTATATTGGATGTGAAAATAATACAACACATGGTATATAAATACATATACGTATACTTAACGTGTTTGTAAACGTATGTTCGTATATAGATTAGGTATACTGTGCTACATGGTTTGCAGCAAGCGACATAGTGTGATTCTTTCGACAAACTTCTCGGCAGGTTGCCAACGAGTCAGTCCGATTGTCAAAGCAGTTTCTTTGTTGACCGTCTTTTGACTCTCATGTTAGGCATCCATCTCTTTCTTACTCTCTCTATCTTTCTTTCTCTCTCTCTCTCTCTCTCTCTCTCTCTCATTTTGTGGCCATCGAACGAACAAACCCACGTACCATACACCGACTCGTTCAACCGCGCCGATTTCAAATTTTTCAAAGAAACCTCCTCAACTCTCAGGAAGATAAAAAAGAAAAAGAAATTTTTCACAAATAAATCGAACGAAATAGAATTTTTTCAAATTTCTTTTTTCCGGGTATTATTAAATTTAGAAAATATTTCGCAATACTGACGTTCAACTACTGACGTAATGCATTTTTGTTAGGAAAGAAAAAGAAAAAAGAAGATAAGATGTGTAATATTTTTCCCATCGATCATAATAATAATAATAATAATAATAATAATATGACGAATAATATATTCGAAAGATTTGCTTATTCTTATCCATTTTCTATTTTCAATTTTTTGGGTTTTTTTTCCCCCCTCGAGAGCATTTATCGTTAATTGAATTATCCTAGAGTTATTTCCTACTTATGAGAGAACTATTATTATTTACCGGAAAGAGATTTGACTTATCCGAAGATTTTCGTAGTATCGACTCCGGTTAAGAACTTTTGATAACCGTACTGATTTCAATCTAAAAAGAGAACGATTCGATATTAGAGAAATTCGTGAAAATGCTAATTCTATAACGAACCCCCAACGTTCTATAATAATAATTCAAGCGAACCCCATTTTGCATTTATAGAATTCGATTTTATTCCAAATTTGTCTGACTACTACTACTGACGAATGAAATCTCCTTAATATTTCTTATTGGATGAAAAATAGAACATTGAGAATTTGTAATTTGTCCCATCGACGTTTTTAAAACAAACGTTCCGTTTTCTATTATTATTATTAAACGGACCGGAAAGTCTTTTTATTTTTATTATTATTATTATTTAACTTCGAATTAAAGTAATCAATAAAGTGTCAAAGAATAAGATAGTATCGTAATTGATAATAATTTTATATTTTTTGCTAAATCTGTTTCATAATTTTAATTACAATACTTTAAAAAAAAAAAATTGTGAAATTTATTCTCTGGTAATTTGGCTTTCTTCTATTCTTTTATAACTTCATATAGGGGCCACATTATTTTTCATTGTAAAGAATTGATATGTCACAACTGGCATTAAGTTTAAAAAATATTTTTATTTTTATAAAATTTTATAGAATTTAAATGTCTATTAATAAATATGGAATCTGTGAAATTTTTGTTCAAAAATATAATATCCAACGCCTCAACTTTTGTTAATTACAAAAATCTTCTTCTTTTTTTTTGGCTAAACCTAAAAGCATTTTTCACGTGAAATTTTATATTATTTGTGCTTATTATTATAAATACCCAATTGACGCAGCAAATGACATTGAAGGATATGATTTTCATAATATGGAAATTACGAGTAGGCCGAATTATCAGCAGGTGGTCATAATAACATCCTTCCTCTAAATATATTTAATCAAAGCTACCGACCACCGTTATTCTCATTGACCTTTTCCTATTTTTTAATAATTTTTTCCCAACTTTGAACATTGAAGAAAATTACCTTTCCCTGACTTCCAATGACCTTTTCCCATATATGAAATACAACCTTTTCCGGTAATTGGTACCAAAATAATAATGATTTTAAAGTATCGAATTTTAAAACCCATAGTGTGTGTGTGTGTGTGTGTTTTACAGTCTAATAAAATAATAAAAAGCTTAACAAATTTTTTGTAGAATCAACTAGATATTACAATCCACCAAAATCCTATGAATCAAATATAAAAAATCCACTCTGCAACATGAAGTTAACATTCGAAAGGTTAGAAAACAAAATACTCCAGAACTCCACTTTACGTAAACTCGTAAAGCGTATCGATCGATACACACATCGTAAAAAAAAAAATCAAAACAAACATTATATCAATTCCAAACAAAATCTCAATAGTATCATTTGTCCGGTCAGTGGGTGTATGTGTATCGAATTCAAATGCGCATACTTAAGTATGCGCTTTGTCACAGCGTTATCCGCTTACTAATTCTAATCTCGAATAATCCCGTTACGAATCGACAAAACATTTCCTTTCGATATTTCACACGTCAATCATACGTTGAATCGAATGTAATCGAATCAAATTGAATTTTTGTTTTTTCCCTTTTTACACACACACTTTCTTTTCTTTCTACGTCTCTGATTTCTGAACACGCGAGGATGTGATAACAAGAAAATCGCTGACGTATGTAACGTACGTTCGGTAAGCCTAAAATAAGCACGCACACATTGGTATATTTACGATAATTTACTATGGGCAATAGCAATTTCTGTCCGTAGAAACGTTAGAATGATTTCGCGAAAATTAGTATATTTTTACCATATCTATTTTAAGTTTAACTGGGGCCTAATAAAATAAGAATTACAACTATTACGTATTCCTATGTTGCGCGATCAAAAGCGCCGAAAAACGCTTTAAAAGCCTCCGAAAATTTGTTTTTCCTTCGACCGACGAAGAGTAATCCATTATCTCCGTCTCTTTCTCTCATTCTCTTTCTATCTTTCTATCTATCTCTCTCTCTCTCTCTCTCTCTCTTAACACGAGACAAAACTTTTGCAACTTGCCAAAAAGATTTTCTTCGAAATCAACGATTTTCCTTAAATTTTCTTAGAAATCATCTTTAAACGTGCGAAATCATCTAAAATGGCTAATCCTGCTCAAGATGAACAATATTTGAGGGAAACATTGCATTCGGGGACGGATAAAAATGATATTCCTAACGCAAAAGGAAGGATTTCACCTTGTGAAAATTCATTCACGGACGATGATACTTCTTCTGTATGGGATAGTGATGATTCTGATCTCACAAACACGGACTCCGCGTACGATTTCCAATGTAAGTAAACATAATAAAACGATATTCTATTGTAGATCTTAGTTTATGGATTGAAGAGAAAAATATATTTTTTTTTCTCTTTTTTATTAATAGAAGAAAATATAATCAATTTACAATTCTCAGCGAGAATTATAAATAATTTATGCCGACGTGACACATTAACATGAATTTTAAATAAAAAAGACATTATAATGTGATAAGTGTAAACACACATAAATAACTTTATTAGAATACAAAATTATTAATCACAGTCAAATCTTGTTTTCAGATCAGAAGGGTAGAACCTTTTTAATTTACGTACTTAATCAGTATTTTCTATCAAATTTATTTCAAAATATATATATATTAATACTATTCAGCAATATTTCTAAAAATTAGACAAGCATTTGATAAAATATGGCATTGCCGAACTATTGTATAAACTCAAAAAAACACTGCATAATATCCTTAAATTTGACCTTACTTTACAGAATGTTCATAGTCAAGTAACAAAACCAATTCACCACAGCTTTTCCAATCTTATATACGAAGAAAAATCTTACGAGTTTTTCATTTAAATTTGTCGAACCAATTCTATAAAAGTCTAGATATGTGCAATATCTCGAAACAATATAAACTTTCTAAGAACAAACGTGACGTTGATGGAGCGTAGGTAAAACCGTGACGTTAATAAATAAACGGAAATCGATACTTCGACCGGTTAACTTGTGGCCGTGATACAAAATAAAATCATTTTAACATTGTTGCTTAGATAAATTCACAGTAACGGAAATCATATGATGATAAAGAAATAAGAGGGACGATGATAAGTTAACAATAAGATGTGATACAACCTAGTCGCACCTCTTTATTACTTTTTCTTTTCCTCCTCATTTATCTCTCTGTCTCTCTCTTTCTTTAACGTCTCGTAATAATAATAACAACTTTTACGTAATCAGCATTTACGTAAAAGAAAGTGATTTCTTTCCATCGCGTATTATCCTTGTCTATCTTTATTCTATTCATTTTTCTACGAATTTTCCAATCGTTTTAAACAGTCTAACACCTACGCGCCTCCTTTCCTTGAATCACGTAAACAATAATACATTTTTCTATTTTTACTTGAATTTTTACTCTAGATAATAGCATTCATAATTTTGTTAGTTAAATAATAATAATAAAACGCTTTTTATGATCACGCAAATTTCAATCGTAAAGTATAACATGTTTTATTCGTAATAATCATTCGAAGGAAATATTTTGTCTTAGATTAATTTAATCGTATTTTATATTAACATTAAAATGGAAAAATGAAAAAGGGTAAAGTTAAAAAAAAAAAAAAAAAAACCCCCCGCCATTGCTAAGAAAAAAACCTACACAGAAAATGTAATTGAAAATATTTCATATTTTTTTTTGTTTATATACAATACATTAATTCTTTCCCAATTGATTTCTTTTCTTTATAGATTTTGATTTTTGTTTGTTTGGTTTTCTTTTTTTCTTTAAGTAAACGAGATCAGAGACTTCAACAGGAGTGAGGATTTAAATAGTTATTTAACGAGTACATCATCCATCAGCGAGTACTTAAATACAGCCAGCAGTAACGATAGCGAAATGAATAATTCTGAAAGCGATAATTCTTCGATAATTATAACGAATCCATTATTTGATGATACGTATGATGCGGATTATCAATCAGAAGACGAAGCCGACATGTCACATTCCGAAGATGAAATTCAAAAATATAACTTTTCTATCGAAGAATAATCAAGTTTAAATGTTGATTATTACATTTTCTATTGTTTAAATATATTATCTTTCAATTTTTGTAATTTTATATTTTTCGTTATTATATTTTTCACGTTTGAGATTATTTGTTGTTATTTTCTATTAAACATTTTAATTACTTAAACACCAAAAAAGTAATCGTCATATCTTTTTTTTAATGTTGTACACTGAAAAAAAAAAAAATAAATTTTCTTCTATGTTTTGTCTTTCCATATAAATAATATATTCTATTGTTTAATCCTTTCGTTGCACGATACGATCATTTTATGATCGTAAAGGTGTGGATAAATATTATGATTCTTTTTTAATCTCGTGCGTTTTTCTTTTTTTGTTTTCTTCTTCTTCTTCTAATTCGATGTTATTTGATACAATAAATAAATATCCTATTGTTTTCTTTGCATCTTTTAAAAAACATTTGGATTACTCATAAGAAAAGTCTTCATCGGCACGATGTTTTTAACGTTTTGAACAAGAGAAGATGTTTTATTCTCTGTTTCAACCTTCCATAAACTGTTTTCAAAAGGCGATCATCAAACTTTCGACATTTAATAAACAATCGACCAGTAAAGGTTGAATTAAGTAAGTAGTAATACGAAAGTTTTCGATTGTGATTAGATGAATTTATTCGAAATACATATCTCGTGTTAAATGGTAATATTAAACTTAAATTTGCAAAATTTGATGGCTTTTTAAATTTTGATGTTTTTTTTTTTTTTTTCAACAAAAACATATATTTTATTCGATACTAATTACTTTATACTGATGAGTGCACAAAAATTAATTACAAATAAAAACGTTCTCTGATTAAAGTACTTTAAGGTAAGCAAAAAAAAAAATACGTTTTATTTCATAATTTCTCATAATCTCATTCTTATTATTTATCTTACAATTAATTCATAATTTTCTCATTTTTCTTATTTTTATTAAATATTTTATTCTTATATTCTCTGAAAACGTGATACACGTGTGTTATTATTTATGTAAAAACTTGCCGTTTTTCGAACAATTTTACGTTAGTAAGTGTTTCAAAAGTTTAAGCAAATTAAAATTTCGTAAGACAACACACGTTTAACCTTTCCACTCGTGAAACAATCGTATTTATTTGTAATCTAATCGGTTACAAAGATTCGTTAAATTCGTTAAATATGTTATTTTACTATTCGTTTGTTTAGCAGTGAAATATATCGAGAGAGTGAGAGAGAGAGAAAATGAGTTTAAATGTTATACCAAGGAGAGATAATCAATCCGAGGTCGACGAGATCAATAAATTTATTGGTAAGAAGTATTAAGCTTTCTTTCTTTCCTTCTTTTTTTTCTTTTTCTTTGAGAAATAGAGAAAAGAATAAGAAGAAGAATAAGGAAACAAAACAAACATTTGATTCGAATTATTTCGCAGAAAATAACGTTGATCGTGAAGAAATCAGTTGGTGGTTAAACATGATATTAAATTTTAAAAGTCAAAAAGAAATCGCTCAGGATATCGCGGATGGTGTTTTTCAAATGGTGGAAATAGAAAATATGTTTCCACGGGAATACGTGCAGGAATTACGTACGAATAATTGCGAATCTACGAAGAATTATTTGAACCGGTTCAAACATATGTCTGGTAATTGGATTAATATTTTTTCATCGAAATGTCAAACCCGATGTTCGTTTGACTAATTAAATGTTTTATTTACATATTTTTTATATTGTATGTTTCTTTTTTGCTTTGTTTTTTTTTTTACAGGTGAACGAATAAAAGATGTTTTATATTCTTTGTTAGGACAGAATAAGTATAATAATCTAGTTAACGAGATCAAGGATTGTTATCTTAGTTTAGGTAGTTCCAATCTGATAAACGGTGTGAAACATTTGATAAGAATTACAAAAAATATGAATTCCCAATCAACGTTAAATTCTATGTCAACGGTTCCTGGTGAACTCGAATTGTGCAACGCTTTAGGAACGAAAAAGAAAAGGGTTGCAAGGAAAAACGTTAACGTGAATTCGAATAAAACAAATGAAAAGCCGAAGATCGTTAAAGAAATAACGAAAAAAATCAAGAATGTGAAACTTACGAAGAATAAATTAGATGCAAACGTTGATAATGGAAATATCATCGAAATGATGATACCGTCGAAGGAGAATCGAATGAACAATGAAAATATATCAAACGATTTCATTTATTCGTCGTCTTCTCAAACAGAAAAATCGAAGGAATTGTCGTTCAATGATCAAGAAAAAGATGAAGATCGGTCGAATGAAGCTGCATCAATAGTCGTTCAAAATTCTTTACAAAATGATAGAAAAAGTGGTACGAAGAAAAAACTTAGGCCGAAAAAATCCAACGTTCCGATTACAAGTTCTTCGCCAATGATTCAAGATAAAATGGAGGAATCTGAAAAATCTAAAATTAACGAGAACGCGATAAACGATGAAGAAAAAGAATCCAATTTAACTAATTCAAACGATTGTCTTGAAGATTTCATTTCGGAAACGAGGAACAACTTATTGTTTGATTTGACATCCTTCTCAGACAAGGATGCAAATATTTTCAATTCTAAGAATGGTGATAAAGAAATCTATAGCAATCATAATCGAGAGATTCCTGATTTTCAAAAATATAAACAATTTGATAAGAATACGTCGAAACAATTAGATATCGATGACAAAATAATTAAAGTCAAAACTGAACTCATAGATTCCGATTCTTGCGAATTAAATTCTAATCGAATAAATCATTTTATCAATCCGTACGAAGAAAATTTGTTAGTAAAAAATTTAAAAAGATCTTCGAATTCTAACGAAACGCCTATGCCAATGAATTTTAAACAATCCAAAAATATTCCAGAAAAAAGTAAACTCGTTAAATCTAAGCTGACTTCCAATTGTAAGAAGAAGAATAAGCCAGATCATAAAGTTACTAAATGTAAGAAAAAAAAATTGATCCCGACAGAATAGCAAGTATCAAAGAAATTCGTATGATTTGAAATTATTTTCAAATGTTACAGATAACAGGAAAAAAACGTTGCCAGGGAAAAAACAGGATGAACGCGAACGCGAAGAGAAGAAAATTAAGTTACGAAAATGTGCACGAAAAATTCAAAATAACTTGGAAGAATTTAAATATGAGATGACTAAACTCGTTAAAGATATGAAGCACGTAGGAGGTATTTAAATTTTTTCGATAAACCGTTTTTTCGTTAATAGCGACCCCTTATACGTGTCGTCTATAAAAAAAAATCCCATGAACAATCTACTAAACGATGATACATGCCAAAACGTGTCGCATGGTTAAATACATTTTTTTGTTAACTATTTTATGTTAATAATATGCAATAGTATTTTATAATATTATGTAAGAATTATAATCGATTAAATATTATTGATTGTAATCCCAAAATAATAAATTAAATATTATTAATTATATTCCAAATTCTATATATACTATTGTAGATTATATCAACATAAAATAATAATATTATTGCGTTAATTGTATTAGTAATAGAGCAATTAATTCAATATAAATTTTCCAATTACAGCAGACGAGGAGGAATCTTCCGACAACTCTTTTACCGACTGCAGTTCATCAACAAGCTCATTCACGGAATCTTCCTTGGAGTCTTTATCGGAATGGTCCACGGACAGTTCTCAGGAATATTCCTCGGGAAGTTCCGAGGACTTCGACTCCGACTGCGACTGCAATTGCGACTGCGACTGCTCCGAGAGTGATTTTTGTAGCGAAAAAGAATCAGACAAAAACAATTTTCGCCGACGTAATAGGGTTACGTATTATAATTATTCCAAAAAATATTACAGAAATAAGATATAATTCTTTATCTGATGTTTTAATATCAATTGCATTCCATAAACGTTTTTAAACATTTTTCATATACTTTCGTTCAATATCTTTTATGATTATTATATTATTTATTAGAAAAAAAGAAAAAAAAAAACAAATAAGAAAAAAATTAATTTGTATCGTTTTTATCTTAAATTCGTCTCAAAATTATTTAAATATTTATTAATACATTAATTTTTTATTAGCTCGTTACATTTTTATTTATAATTAAATGCCAATCCGTGACTATCATCATGGCTTGTAAAAACGAATGAATTTTTAATTAAATATTCCAGTTCTTGAATTGTATCTGTGTAATGTTATAGCAATAACGTTAGACAGATTTATCCTTGTATTAATAATGAAAAATAAATGATTCTCAATCCTTTCAATATCCTATCTGTAAGCTTGATTATCCTTTTTCCAATAATCGATCATTCCACATCGAAGGTCGTATTTTTAAAGTTTTATCCGTCAAAACAGCGTAAAAAAGCTGACTTGTTAATTTTTTACGTACAACATACCACATCTACTATGTTGGATTAAAAAGAAAAATAATCCTTTTAATTATGCCAGTAAATTCAAAAGAAGGAAGAAAAAACGAGAAGCGAAGTAACCGTCACGTGCAATTTTCGTAGCCGCCATAAATGCAAATTATATTAGACATTATTGCGTTTAACGAAATACTCGGAAAATATAACTTCATCCAAAAAAAAAAACAAAAAAGAAAAGAACAGATGTGGCATTTCATAAAATTTATAAAAGAATACTGAAAACAACGTTAAAACATTATTTTTATGAATTCCGAAGAATTGATACACACCGGTATAAAAAGCAATGATTTTTACAATATATTCAATCTTGTATCAAATATTTCGTTGAAAATGAAAGACGCGTATATGATACGCTAGTTTTGATCTTTTATTACTCATAAAATTGAAGGAAAAATACTGAAACAACTCAAAAAACATTATTTTTATGAATTCCGAAGAATCGATATAAACCGATGTAAAAAGCAATGATTTTTATATCCTATTGTGTATCAAATATTTTGTTCGAATTGGAAAACGGTTATATGACACGCCAGTTTCATCATTTATTACTATGACGGACAATCAATTATTTGGATATTCCTATAAATTTAATGAAATCCATCGTAACGTCCATCTTTCTTCTTTAATTTTTTAAACGCAAACATTATTTCTATGCATTCTAAATAAACGAATACGTACCAATGTCAAAAAGAATCATTTTAATATCCAATATAGTGTGTTTACAATAAAATAATTTTTTATACGATAAATAAATTTATTCTTAGATTATTACAGCCAAACAATGATATACGTTCTTATTAAACGATATCAAAATTTAATTAATAAAAATTTAGTCTTCATAATAAATATATATAAATATTATATAAATAATAGTAAAAAATATTTAGTCTACGTAACAAAATAATTTTAGACGATAAATGAATTTATTCTTTGATTATTACAGCCAAACAATGATACGTTCTTATTAAACGATATCAAAATTTCTAACAAGAAAGATCTTTCATTTGTCACGTTAGATATTCATTATAATTTCCCACACATTTCTCCGTGATTCGTAAGTGTCTACATCACACACTTCAGTGTAATTTACCTATATAATAATTTATCATTCCTTTTTTTTTTTCTTCTTTTCAAGTTAACTTTTGTACACCTTGCGCACGACTCTGCAGCGAATATCGTTGTTCTGGCACATGCGATCGATTCGTTTCTTCGAGAACGAAAGCGTAGGCGTTCTGACTAAACGCTTCTGCGTCTCTCTTTCTTCTTACTTCCTTCTTCTTCTTCTTTTTCTTCGTCTTTTCCTCCCTTCCTCCCCCTTTACCCCCTTTCTTTCTCTAGATTTCGTGTTAACGCAAAACGGGAGACAACACACATTTCACGTGTAGACGATTTCAAAGCAACGATATAAAAGCTGACATCATCACAATCATCATCGTCATCATCATCATCATTTTTCGTTTTGTAACGTACGACGAACCTTAAGTTTTTCTGATTATTTTCTCATACGTGACACACATTATTTTCACATATATATATATATATTTATACATTTCTTTAGAAACGATATCGTGTAATATGTGTTTCTTAGACAAAACTACGAGACGATCTTCTATTCATTTCTTTTACGCGAAATCGGGCATAGAATTTATCGGAAAAATGATGATAGGATCCCTTAATTCTGAGAGTTAAAAAGAAATGTAGAAAAAGTAGGACACCAATTTGACAATTTTCGTAATCATCTTTATATAGAAAATAGTATCAATAGTAATAAATAAGAATTAAGAAGAATTGTGACTCTTCTTTTCTTCTTTTTTCTTTTTTTTTTTTCGAAATCTATAACGTAAGAAAGATTAGAGGATCATTTTACAAAACGATACTCGATATTTTCTTATACGAATAAATACTTTTATGGATAAATAGAAATTTATTAAAAATAAATATTAGAAAGAGGTAAAATGAGTAGAAATGTCGTTTAATAACAATTTTGACGAGAATTAATTGTTATCAAAACGGAAAGACAATATCAGCGACGTTGATGACAACAGGAAATATATATATATCTCTCTCTCTCTCTCTCTCTCTTTCTCTCTTTCCCTCTTCATATATCAAAGTTCCTTCCAACGATATCACCTTTACGCTTTGTAAAATCAACGGAATTGTCGAGCTTACTGTTTCTATTTGAATTTCTGTAACATGCGTATACTATACCTACGCTCTTTTCCGAGCCCGGAAATCGAGCACCAACGATGAATGCAATTCGATGCGTGATATATGTGCTTTAAAGCTTGTTATGCACAGCTTAACGAACCAATAAAACAAATCCGAAATGAGGAAAATGACGATGACGAGACAAAGACGCGATTACACAATAGCCCTACTTGCATTTAAACTTTGCAATCGTCACGCAACTAACTCTCCATCACCACTACCACCACACACACACACACAATTTCTTCTCTATTTATAATTTAATACCAACGTGTCTATTCGACGTGGTTACGGTCCAGCAAACTATGGACATACGTATACTTGACATAGATTTTATAAATACTTACAGGTGCTAATTTAATTATCTCAATTTTAATTAAATTCATTTAGAATATTATTGATTCGAATTTTATTTTAGTATTTTTTTATTTATTATTTTATTTATAATATATATAGGTTTTCTTTTTGTTATAGGTGACCATCGTTAGATTTGCCATACCAGTAATACCCAAACATAATTATTCCTAAATATAGGTAAATTGAGTATATATGATTGTTTGGTGTAGATACGAAATATTAATGTAATAAAAATAAACCTAAATATTCGATCTTTCACCGACGTATTTGATATATGTTGACATTTCACCATGTGAATCTTAATATTCTCCAATTTCGATCTTTCGCGGTAACAATATATATATATGTATATTTATTATTTGTAACTTATTATTTTGTTAAGTGGAAAAATGTTATATTGCATAGAATTTATAAACATATTTGATACATTGGTCACTGTTGCAATTTAAGAAAAAGTGAAGTAATGTCAACTATGATAAAATGATTGTAATAGAAATTATTTCTATGAATTTTGAACAATGGATACACGACAGCGTCTAGAGCAATCATTTTTAAATCCAGTTTTATGTTTGGAGAGTTGATTAATTATTATTTTCTTATTATTAGATTATTATTTATTTTTTCAAATGAAATAAAACTGTACGGTAAATCAATTTCTTCTTGAATTATTCCAATCAGCAACGATACCTATTTTCCTATAAAATTTTATCTCTCGAACATTTCTTTTATTTATTTTCATTCGTTTTTTCTTTTTTTCTTTTTTCAATATTTTTTCCACGATCACGAATCGTTTTGATTTTAAAAACAAACGATTTAGAATGCATTTTTGATCTATACATTTATATCATTTTTGATGTACGCGTATGACGTCCATTTTCTTTTATATTTATTTTCTCACGGTATGGATGATAAACTTTTTGGATTAAAAGAAAAAAAAGAAAGGAGAAAAATGTAATGAAAAGAAAAGAAAATCAATCATCTTTGATTATTGTCAACAGCTGTAAGGCAAATGCATCACTATCATGTTCTAAAATCGAATTTCGACCTCTCTTTAGATATTTTCTTTGGCTTGGTACCAGTTTAAGCCGCAAATTGTCAATATCGAAACGTACGCCTAGAAGAAGCGAGTTTCTATCGAATCAGTTTACTTTGCACAACACGTTTCGATTATGAAAATATCATTTTGGATTTCGAATCGCGTGTATAAAGCTTCAGACCAACGCAAATCTTTGAATGTGAGTAAACTAAAAATGAATTTTCATTGAAGGATTAGAAATCACGAATATAAGGTAAATAAAGAGGGAAAGAGATAGAGGTAAATAAGCGTTGTTAACTGATAAACAAATTTTGTAGAAAATGTTTTCTTATTTCCTTCATTAATTTGTTTACTCACAAGTTTCTTAGAAAAAAAAATAAATCGAACTTGTTTTAACGAACACAAATTGTCTAATTCGATGAAAAAAAAAAAAAAAGAAAGGAGTACTTTAATTAACTGAAAAAAAAAAAGTTTGATTCATTTATTAAAGAAAATAATTTTGATTTATTTTACCAAACTCTTTTAAAGTTCAATAAAAATGTGAAAAATTATTTATTAAAACTTATTTAGCTTAAAAAGAAGTCAAAGAATTTTAATTCTTATCAAAGAATATTTGAAACACTTTTTGGAAGAACTTAAAAATTGTTTAAATTGTTCTAAAATACGTGATTGTGATAAGTGTTACAATTGTTTGAAGAATTTATTATATATCTAAATAAGTAAAAAAATAAGAAGAAAAAGAGAGAAAATCATCTTTGGATATAAAATTATTTACAATGTAGATTAGAAAAAAAAAAAAAAAAAAA